TCTTCCGATGGCCAAGCAGATTCACTTTCAACACCTGCAGGGAGAAAGAGTGGTTCGTATAGGGAGCAATAGGGGAGTCAGTGCTTGCCTAACAGCCCTTTGCACAAAGCTGAACTTCCCCCTCTGAGCAACGCTATTCACATTTAATGCGACTCCCTGCAAGGCACAGCCCTGGAGGGTACACAGGCAGGATCTCATTTGCCATGGCAAGAGAAAGGCAATACTCACGTTTACTATTTCAAGCTCCCAGAGGTTTTTCACAGCGTCAATAGAGCTGTAGCCACTCGAGAGGAAGGACTGAATGTAATCCTGCAGCCCCAAAGAGTCGAGCCATGCAGGAACCGAAGGCTGGCTGTTCCCATCGCAGCCCAGAGGTTTCAACTGCAAAAAGCACAACCCAGGAAGAGGTTAAAAGCCCAAGGGGGCAGAGATCCCAAAGCATACAGTGCCTGCAATTAAAACTAGTTTAAAGGCATCCATCATTTCCAATAGAACTTTAAAATAAAAATCACTATATAAAGGGGAATGAACCCCAGCACCCCTGCCACCCCGTTATCGGCTCCATGCCGAGGGGGCTCTGTCTGCCAAGGCAGGCGTTGGAACCACTTTGCATGCCAGCTGTGGCGTCTGCCCAGCATGAGTGAAGAGAAGAGCTCCAAAAATCCTCCTCCTGCGCCCTCCAAGCTGACCAGGGAGGGCTGAATCCTCTCTGAACTTGCTGTGCTGGAAAGCACTCAGGAACAGGGACCTTAATTATAGCAGGTGAGCTGTTGATATAAGGTTAAAACTGGTTTCCTTAGCTCCGTGCCAGGCTTCGTTCAACTCTCGCAAAAACACCCCTTTCGCCAGCTCTGAAGCCAGAGCCCGGGATGCACTGCACAACAGGCAGCTCACGGGCAAGTACGAAACACCAGCAATGCCAGCGCTACAGACAAAGGCTAGCAGGAAGGACACCTAATCTCTCCCCAGCACTGAGATGTCCCCTCATGTCACCCCATGCCCAGACCAGCTTAGAGCACCAACATATTTGTCTTCTTCCCTGCTAGCCCCAAACCTTTCCCACTGCCCCTGCGATCATCCCGCTCTCTGGGTCTCAGGGACGTGGCTGGAGCCACAGGGATTGGCTTTTGTTTCCTCCGCTTTTATAGTTACGCTGAGCCGTGCCCCTGCACCTCCCCGCTCTGCTGCGGCCCCCTCCGCGCATCTCACGACTACCAACGGTCCTGACCTTCGGGAGGGAGCGAGCTGCCTGCAGGAGCTTCCGGCGGTGCTGCGGGTCGCTGATGCCGATCTCCCGCAGGTCCTGGTCTTCCATGACGTTACAGCCCTGCAGGAACAAAGAACATGGGAGCAGAGGGCAACAGAAGCTGCATCAGCTGCTGCAGAAGAGACCGTGCGTGTTAAAGCATCCTTTAGACCTCACCTACGAACACGTTCTATCCTGGCCAGCCCCACGACGCTGCCCAGCAGGAGGAGGAGGGCTCCCAAAGGTGATGCTTGGGTGGCTCAGCCCCACGCTCTGGCCTCGGGGACTGCGCCTGACCCAGGCGAGCTGACATGAGCGGGGCCAGCAGACGCACCGAGGGGACCGTGGCACGCTGCAGGACTGCAGCGCGGGGCAGAGCGCTGCCTCCCCCTCCTTGCTCTGCACCATCTTCTTCTAGCCACTAGATTTCAAGCCATTGATCTCAGTGACCTTCCTGCTTTATACACAGATGCTTTAATCACTGCTTAACGATGGCACTTCCCCATCATCTGGATAAATTCCCACCCCTGCTCCATACACAACACCCGAGACAGGGGCATTCAGCTCTGCTCAGCCTCCCTTGAGGGCCACAGGGGAGACTGAATTTATTCCAGTGAGAGCAGGCGACCTGGGGAAGATCGGATTTATCATCCTGGGAAGCAAGGCAGCCCACCCTTCTCCAGCAGAGAGGCTCTCGCCGCTGCACGCTGCTCTGCTAAAGCTCCGCACGCACCCTCGCTAGCCACGCGCAGCAAGGACAGATGTGTGCAGAGCGCGCTTGCTTCAGCTGCTCAGGAGCTTCCATTGCAACCTGCTCCCCTGCCTCTATCCTGCTATACCTGGGAGAGCGCAGCCGGGCGCCCTGGTATGTCTCCCCCTCGCTGGAAGGGCCACGCTGGCATCAGATCACAGGTTCAGCGCACGGGGCAGCACGCGAGCGCGGGGCTGTGCTGTGCCGACGCACGCCTCCGCCTGCAGTCCCGCTCCCCCCAGCCCTGCCTCCCTCCGCTCTCGGGAGAGTCACGGCTGAAGGTCTGAGCTGACAGCACCTCACTGTTCCACTTTTTGGTTTTATAAAGGAAACCTAATTAAAATTGGCTGCTGGGCAAAACGCAGCCACAAGGGTGAGCAGGCTGCGGGAACAGCGGGCTCAAACAGCCAGGGCTTCGGGAGAGGAAGAGGGAAGGAGGATCTCTAAGCTGCCTCCGCACAGGGCAGCAAGCGTGTCTTAAGCTCCTTCCTACCCTGTACTTCAGCCCACAAATCTGGCTAAGTGCCGCCCGTTTTAATGGCAGCAGCTGAACAGGAACGCAGGAGAAGGTGGATTAGCCCTTTTGTACCACCACCTCCACTCTCAGATACTCCTGTGCAAGCGCCCGGGACCGCTTGCAGCCCGGGCAGCCCAGCGGGAGAGCGACGGCCGTACAAGACAGGCATTGGGCACAGCCAGAGCTGCAGAGCCAGCTGCCTCTGCAGCCCGGGAGCTGAGCGAGCGCCTGCTCCCTCCTGGCAGCGCCGGGGTCTGTTTTGCTCAGGACACGGCAGTGCTAATCGGCACCCCGCGACAAGGGCTATCTGCTCGCTTGGTTCAGCTCTGCACAAGACAGCACCGAGGCCGGGCAGAGGCAGCGTTGCTCCCACCGCTTCCTCGGCCTGGCGCGATAACTCCTGGAGAGGACATAACGCGCTGCTCTCCGCCCCAAAGAGATGTTCTTCCCCTTGGACGTCGAGATAAGCGTTCAGAGAAATAGCGAATTAGTGCTGCAGATAAGAGGTGCCCAAAGCAATGTCTGTGGGAGAGCTGCCCTCAGAGGCCAGACTGCAGAGAAGTAATTATTTAGCAAATGACAGCGGTAAATTAAATCAGCGGGTGACGGGGAAACAGGGCTCTGCAGTCACTCAGAGACTATCAGCACCCCCAGCACAGAAATCAGCAGCTCCTCTGCCTCCGTCCTCCCTTGGCAGGCAGAGACGCGCGTGACGCCCTCAACTCCAGCGGGGCCTTGGGGGGACAGAGGCCGCAGCTCGGGAGCGGACAGCCGCAGCACAAAGGCGTTTGTTTACAAGGGCTGTTTAAACAGTGGAAAAAGCTGGAATTAAAGAGCCAGCAAGATTAGGGTAGTTGCAGCGTATGTGTGAGGAATTCATCTCCTAGACTGAGATGCCTTTTTAAATGGGACAAAAAAGGGCTACAGCAAGTGATGAGATTTCTCCTTAAGCCTGGAGAGCAAAGCATTGCCATCCCACAGAGGGGCCAGAAAGAAGTACAGGAAAGGATCGACTCTCCCAAATTCACAAGGCAGGTTAACGTCACAGCCTGGTACCCGAGTTTGACTTCTTAGCCCATCCTAACCCCCGAGCAGCCCATCCTAGAGGAACATTTCTTGTTTCAGCTGTAAGGAGCTCAGTGCCACGGCTGCAGCAGGTAAGTGCCAGCAAGGACACGGTTCCTGGAACAGCAAAGCTTTCCGATAGCAACCACAATGGCAAGGAGGGACGTTTGGACCCAAATGAACCGGGATGATGGCCACATGTGGTTTTTTTTTTTTAATATATATATATATAAATATATATATATATAAAA